TAGACGTTGGCCTGAAATTTTCTTTTTTAGTTGTATCTCTGCCAGGTTTTGGTATCAGGATGATGTTGGTCTCATAAAATGAGTTAGGGAGGACTCTCTTTTTGCATTGTTTGAAACAATTTCGGAAGGAATGGTACCAGTTCCTCTTTGCACATCTGGTAGAATTTGGCTGTGAATCCATCTGGACCTGGACTTTTTTTGGTTGGTAGGTTATATATTGCTGCCTCTACTTCAGACCTTGTTATTGGTCTATTTGGGGATTCAACTTCTTCCTGGCTTAGTCTTGGGAGCATGTAAGTGTCCAGGAATTTATCCATTTCTTCTAGATTTACTGGTTTACGTACAGAGTTGTTTGTAGTAATCTCTGAAAGTAGTTTGTATTTTTGTGGAATAGGTGGTGATATCCCCTTTATCATTTTTTATTGCATATGTTTGATTCTTCTCTCTTTTTTATTAGTCTGGCTAGTGGTCTATCTATTTTGTTGATCTTTTCAAAAAACCAGCTCCTGTATTTATCGATTTTTTTGAAGGCTTTTTTGTGTCTCTATCTCCTTCAGTTCTGCTCTGATCTCAATTATTTCTTGTCTTCTGCTAGCTTTTGAATTTGTTTGACCTTGCTCCTCTAGCTCTTTTAATTTTGATGATAGGTTGTTAATTTTAGATCTTTCCTCACTTCTCATATAGGCATTGAGTGCTGTAAATTTCCCTCTAGGCACTGCTTTAAATTGTGACTTCGTTCTCATGGGTTTCAAAGAACATCTTTATTTCTGCCTTCATTTCATTACTTATCCAGTAGTCATTCAGGAGAAGCTTGTTCAGTTTCCAATGTCGTTGTGCAGTTTTGAGTGATTTTCTTAATCCTGAGTTCTAATTTGATTGCACTGTGGTCTGAGAGAGTGGTTGTTATGATTTCTGTTTTTGCCTTCGCTGAGGAATTATTTACTTCCAATTATGTGGTCAATTTTAGAGTAAGTGTGGCATGCTGCTGAGAAGAATGTATATTCTGTGGATTTGGGGTGGATGGTTCTGTAGATGTCTATAGGTCTGCTTGGTCCAGATCCGTGTTCAAGTCCTTGATATCTATGTTAATTTCTGTCTCATTGATCTAACATTGACAGTGGAGTGTTAAAATCTCCCACTATTATTGTGCGGGGGTCTAAGTCTTTTTGGAGGTCCTTGAGAACTCACTTTATGTATCTGAGTGCTCCTGTATTGGGTGCATATATATTTAGGATAGTTAGCTTTTCTTGTTGCATTGATCCTTTTACCATTATGTAATGCCCTTCTTTGTCTCTTTTGATCTTTGTTGGTTTGACATCTGTTTTATGGCAGACTAGGATTGCAACTCCTGCTTTTTTTGCTCTCCATTTGCTTAGTAAATCTTCCTCAATACCTTTATTTTGAGTCTATGTGTGTCTTTTTCCACGTGAGATGGGTCTCCAGAACACAGCACAGTGATGGGTTTTGACTTTTTATCCAATTTGCCAGTCTTTGTGTTTTGATTGGGGCATTTAGCCCATTTACATTTAAGGTTAATATTGCTATGTGTAAATTTGTTCCCACTGTTTTGATGCTAGCTGGTTGTTTTGCCCATTAGTTGATGTAGTTTCTTCATTGTGTCAATGGTCTTTATCATTTGGAATGTTTTTGCAGGAACTGGTATTGGTTGTTCCTTTCCATGTTTAGTGCTCCTTCAGGAGTCCTGGTGGTGATAAAATCTGTCAGCAATTGCTTGTCTGTAAAGAATTTTATTTCTCCTTCACTTATGAAGCTTAGTTTGGCTGGATATGAAATTCTGGGTTAAAAGTTCTTTTTTTTAAGGATGTTGAATATTGGCCCCCACTCTCTTCTGGCTTGCAGGGTTTCTGCAGAGAGATCCACTGTGAGTCCTATGGCCTTCCCTTTGTGAGTAACCTGACCTTTCTTTCTGGCTGCCCTTAGCATATTTTCCTTCATTCTGACCCTTATGAATCTGAAGATTATGTGCCTTCGGGTTGCTCTTCTTGAGGAGTATCTTTGTGGTGTTCTCTGTATTTTATGGATTTGAATGTTAGGCTGCCTTGCTAGGCTGGGGAGGTTCTCCCGGATAATATCCTTAAGAGTGTTTTCCAGCTTGGATTCATTCTCCCTGTCACATTCAGGCACACCAATCAAACGTAGATTAGGTCTTTCCACATAATCCCACATTTCTTAGAGGCTTTGTTCATTTCTTTTTACTCTTTTTCCTCTAATCTTGCCTTCTCGTTTTCTTTCATTGAGTTGGTTTTCAATCTCTGACATCCTTTCTTCTTCTTGATCAATTCAGCTATTGAAATTCTGTCTTGCAGGCGTTCCAGGCACCAGTTAAAACAGCTGCCCAGATTTGTGCCGGTTTTTGTGCTGGAAACCCGCAGTGTTTGTTGGCTGGCGGGAATCTCCTGGTCTGTGGGCTGTAAAGACCCTGGGAGAAGTGCAGTATCTAAACCGGAGTGCTGGAGTGTCCAGAAAAGCCCCCAATGGCCTCCATTGAGTAAGTGGTGGTGGTGGGGGTGGTCCTCCAGTCTGCTGCTCTTCCCAGGTGAGGCACTGCCCCACCCTGCCTTGGGTCACCCTCCTGGGGATACACCGACTGTCCAACCAGTCCCACTGAGATGTACCTGGTACCTCGGTTGGAAATGTGGTGATCACTCTCCCTCTGTGCTGCTTTTGCTGGGAACTGCTCTCTGGAGCTGTTTCTATTTGGCCCTCTTGGCCAATATTTGAAATCAATAGCTTCTTTTGCTATGCAGAAGCTCTTTAATTTAGTTAGCTCCTATCTGTCAATTTTGGCTTTTGTTGCCATTACTTTTTGTGTTTTAGTCATGAACTCTTTGTCCATGCCTATGTCCTAAATGGTATTGCCTAGGTTTTCTAGCAGATGGTTGTAGATATGTGGTATTATTTCTGAGGTCTCTGCTTTGTTCTACTGGTCTATATGTCTGTTTTGGTACCAGTACTATGCTGTTTTGGTTAATGCAGCCTTGTAGTATAAAGTCAGGTAATATGATGCCTCCAGATTTGTTCTTTTTGTTTAGGACTGTCTTGGCTACACAAGGTCTTCTTTGATTGCATGTGAAATTTAAAGCAGTTTTTTCTAATTCAGTGAAAAATGTCAATGGTAGTTTAATGGGAATAGCATTGAATCTCTAAATTACCTTGGGCAGTAAGAAAACTTCTAGCCAGTATCCCTGATTAACATTAGTACAAAAATCCTCAATAAAATACTGGCAAAGTGAATCCAGCAGCACATCAAAAAATTTATCCACCATGATCAAGTCAGATTCATCTTTGGGGCAAGGCTGGTTCAACATATGCAAATCAATAAACATAATCTGTCACATAAACAGAACCAAAGACAAAAACCACATGATTATCTCAATAGATGCAGAAAAGGCCTTTGATAAAATTCTATATCCCTTCATGTTAAAAACTCTCAATAAACAACATATTGATAGAACATATCTCAAAATAATAAGAGCTACTTATGACAGACCCACAGCAAGTATCATATTGAATGGGCAAAAGATGGAAACACTCCCTTTGAAAACTGTTACAAGACAAGGATGCCCTTTCTCACCAGTGCTACTCAACATAGTATTGGAAGTTCTGGTCAGGGCAATCAGGCAAGAGGAAGACATAAAGCATACTCAAATAGGAAGAGAGGAAGTCAAATTGTCTCTGTTTGCAGATAACATGATTCTATATTTAGAAAACCCCATCATCTCAGCCCAGGAAATTCTTAAACTGATACACAACATCAGCAAAGTCTCAGGATACAAAATCAATGTGCAAAAATCACAAGCATTCCTTTACATCCATAATAGACAGAGAGTCAAATCATGAATTTGCTACAAACTGATAAAATACATAGGAATACACCTAACAAGGGATGTGAAGCACCTCTTCAAGGAGAATTACAAACCACTGCTCAAGGAAATAAGACAGGACACAAATAGAAAAACATTCCATCCTCATGGATAGGAAGAATCAATATTGTGAAAAGTGCTCTTTTGAAGGTACATGTGACTGTGGATGAAGACAGGGAAGATTTCTGGGTAGTGTCCATTCTTCACAATTCAGCAAAATAATCTTTTAAAAATAGAAATAAGAACATGTATCTTTGCTACTGAGAATCTTTCCAGAGTTTTCCTTTGCTCTTAGGACAAACTTAGAAAGGTTAACATGGCTTGGAAGAAAGTAAGCTCCATGATAAATGGGGGACTTAGATTTTTCAATGATGTCTCACCAATTCCATGAACAATGCCTGGGATATAGGAGGTACTTAACAAATAATTGTAGGAAAAAAGAATTATTACAAATCTCTCCACAGAACTGCCCTGCCTATCTCTCTAGCCTCATTACATAACCACCCTCCCCTTTCCTTTCCTTCTTCTAGCTAAAATAAATATATATTGCATACATATTCCATTTCTTCAAATGTGCTCTGTCCTACCTCCAGATCTTTGAATATGGAGTTTCCTTTACCTGGAATGTTCTTTCCCAACGTTTTTACTCATGTATACTAATACATCAGTTTCAGCTTTAACATTATTTCCCTCAAAACATCTTTCCTGACCCTCATTTTGGCCAGGTCTGTCATATTTCTCTATAGCACCATTTTGTAACAATCTTCATGCTTATAATTACTTACTCAATGTCTATCTTTGCCAATAGATTCTAATTTCTATGAGAACATGTTTGGGATTTATTTTATTCAAGGCTGACTATCCTTCCCTAGCAATTGTGCCTGGCAAAAAGCAGGCGCTCAGGAAGCATTTGTTTTTATGAATGAATGAATGAAGAAATGAATGAATGAATCAATGAGATTACAAGGTGAGCCAAAGAAATGGGTGGTCCTATTTATATGCAGTAGACCATTTAACAAGCACCCTTCTGCAGAAGGAAGAAAGAGAATTCCGTATATGCCCCAACATTATGATGATGGTGAAAAAGATAACAACAAATGGATCAATCTAGATTACCTGAGAGGTGTCCACTGATGCCTCCTCCTCGTTTTCTTTAGCAGTTCTGTTTTAACATAAATAAAGTTGTTTCACTCAATGGCAAGACTGAAAAATTTTGTTCAATGATAAAGATTTTCATTTACAACTTCTGGGACCCCATAAATTATATCCTTCAACATATTAAATACAACATAATTAGAAAAATTAAAATGGGCCAGGCGCAGTGGCTCACGCCTGTAATCCCAGCACTTTGGGAGGCTGAGGCAGGTGGATCACGAGGTCAAGGGATCGAGGCCATCCTGGTCAACATGGTGAAACCCCGTCTCTACTAAAAATACAAAAAAAAAAAAAAAAAAAAAATTAGCTGGGCATGGTGGTGCGTGCCTGTAATCCCAGCTACTCAGGAGGCTGAGGCAAGAGAATTGCCTGAACCCAGGAGGCGGAGGTTGCGGTGAGCTGAGATGGCACCATTGCACTCCAGCCTGGGTAACAAGAGCGAAACTCCGTCTCAAAAAAAAAAACCAAAAAAATAAAATAAAAATGAAGCCAGGCACAGTGGTGCCTGCCTGCAATCCCAGCTACTTGGGAAGCTGAGATTAGAGGGTCACTTGAGCCCAGGAGTTCAATGACAGCCTGGGTAACATGGTGAGATCTCATTTTTAAAAAATAAAAAAACATTTAAAAATCAGTTTATAAAATTGCACAGTAATGATGAACATTAATCTAATAGCTTGATTTCTTAAAAAATGTAGAAGTACTTGAATTTTCTTGTTAACCCTGTTAAAAATACTTTTACCATTTTTTATTATGAAGGTTATACATGCTTATAATATTTCAACAAAACCGTAAGCAAAATAGAACATAGCTCCCCTCACTTAGTGTGACTCTCCTCACTCCTGGAACACAGCACCATAATGTACAGTCTTTTGGAATGATTGTGACAATTTATTCTTCCACCCACAGTTGTATGAGTGCTCATTTCCCTACATTCTTAACAATGCTGGACCTTATCAATCTTTCAGTCTTTGCCAGTCTAAAATTGTAGAAAAATTAAATGTGATTCAATTTGTATTTTGATGAGCATGAACGACATAGGCTAACTTTTATACATTTAACGAGCAACAGAGTGCAATCCTGTCTCTCCAAAAAAAAGGAAAAAGAAAAAAAATTTAGTGAAAAATACATTACAAAAGAATGTATACAGTATACTTTTGTTACATAAAAGTTGTTTTAGAAAAGACAAACCCAAATAATATATTGTTTGGGAATTGATAATATGTGGGAATGCTATTAAAAACCCCAAGAAGGGATTACACCTGTAATCCCAGCACTTTGGGAGGCTGATGCAAGTGGATCACCTGAGATGAGGAGTTCGAGACCAGCCTGGTCAACATGGTGAAACCCTGTCTCTATTAAAAAGACAAAAATTAGCTGGATGTGGTGGCGAGCACCCATAATCCCAGCTACTTGGGAGGCTGAGGCAGGAGAATTGCTGGAACATGGGAGGCAGAGGTTGCAGTAACCTGAGATTGCACCACTACACTCCAGCCTGGGCAACAAGAGCGAAACTCTGTCTTAAAACAAAACAAACCCCCAAACACAAGGAAGTGATTAACACAAAATTTACTAAACTGGTTACCTCTGACCATAAGTTATACTATGCTAACACCAATCAAAAGAAAATGGGAGTAACTATATCAATTTCAGACAGAACAGATTTCAGAGCAAGGAAAATCTGGGGGGATAAAGAGGGATATTACAAAATGATAAAGGGATCAATACTCTAAGCAGACATAACAATCCTTTTTTTTTTTTTTTTTGCGATGGAGTTTCACTCTTGTTGCCCAGGTTGAAGTGCAATGGCGCAATCTTGTCTCACTGCAACCTGGGTTCAAGCGATTCTCCTGCCTCAGCTTCCCAAGTAGCTGGAACTACAGGCGCATGCCACCATGGCCAGCTAGATTTTTTATAGTTTTAGTAGAGACGGGGTTTCACCATGTTTGGACAGGCTGGTCTCAAACTCTTGACCTCATATGATTGACCTGCCTTGGTCTCCCAAAGTGCTGGGATTATAGCCATGAGCCACTGCACCCAGCCCAATATAGCAATCCTTAATGTGTATATGTACCTAACAGAGCATCAAACAATATAAGGCAAAAATTAATTTGCTAAGCTTTTTAGTCATTGTTAGGATGGGGTAGTGACTTCTAAGCTCCTTACATGCCAGATGGGAAACTGGAAGTCCTCAACTTTAATTTTGTTCAGGGGGTGTGTGTGTGTGTGTGTGTGTGTGTGTGTGTGTGTGTCTATATTAAAGCTTATTTTTTTCTTTTGTTGCTTTCTGAGTAGAATCAAAGCTTAAAAGGTGTAAGTAACCAAATGTATCAATCTTTTCCTTATGCTCTTCAGTTTATGTCACACTACCACAATTACAAAAATATTGTTCTATACTTTCCTCTACTTCTATGTCTTGTTATGTTTAATTTTTATTCATCTGCAGTTTATTTTTGTTAATGTTGTGAGGTTAGAATCTAACATAAAAATTTTCCAGTTAGATCATCTAATTTTCCTAACACAAATATAATTATAAATGTAAATAATGGAAATATAAAGCAGTATAACCTCTATGAAAGGCAATTTGGCAATACCTATCAAAACTACAAATGCACAAACCATTTGATCAACAACTATACTTTTATGACTCTATACTACAAATATACCTGTATATATGCACAATGACACATATTCAAGGTTATTAGTAAACTAATTAGTTGTAAAACAAAATTAGAAACAACTTTAAATTCCTCAATAGAGAATTTACTCAGTGAATTATGAGACAGTCATTTAACAGAAATTACATAGCTGCTTTAAAGAAATTAAGAATTATCACATTGTTAAGAGAAAGAAAGCAAGGTGTAAAATAATGTGTAAAGGTGGTGTCATTGTGTCAGGAAAGGAAAAGTCAAAGAATATATATAAAATATACATATATAAATTGTTTCTGAAAGGATACACAAAGCACTGGAAACACATTATTATTATTATTATTATTATTATTATTATTTTAGACAAGTCTTGCTCTTTCACCCAGGCTGGAGTGCAGTGGCATGATCTCAGCTCACTGCAACTGCCTCCTGTGTTCAAGTGATTCTCCTGACTCAGCCTCCCAAGTAACTGGGACTACAGGCATGCGCCACTACACCTGGCTAATTTTTGTATTTTTAGTAGAGACAGGGTTTCAGCATGTTGGCCAGGCTGGTCTTGAACTCCTGACCTCAGGTGATCCACCCGCCTCGGCCTCCCAAAGTGCTGGGATTACAGTACTTTCAAGGATGGGAAGTGAGCAGCTAGAGGACAAAGGGTAAAGGAGACTCTTTACTATACAGAAATGTAAATTAACATATACTCCTTTGTACCATGTACCTCTTCTACATAATAAAAAAAATCAACTTAGGAAAGAAAAAGCAACCTTTAAAAGAAAACAAAATAATGAGGGTTTACAAAAGAAAAAACGTGTTTTTTTTTTTGGGGGGGTAGTGTTTGTTTTGAGACAGAATCTTGCTCTGTTGCTCAGGTTGGAGTACAGAGGCATGATCACAGCTCACTGCAGTCTTGACCTCCTGGGCTCAAGTGATCCTTCCACCTCAGCCTGCCAAGTAGCTGGGATCATAGGCAAGTGCCATTATACTTGGCTAATTTTTTTGTATTTTTTGTAGAGACAAGGTTTCATCATGTTGCCCAGGCTGCCCTCAAATTCCAGAGTTCAACTGATTTGCCCACTTCAACCTCCCAAAGTGTTATGATTACAGGAGTGAGCCACTGTGACTAGCTAGAAAAAAAGGTTTTAAATATAAAGAACATGGGGAGTGGGTACACAGATATTTGTTACGCTATTATCAGTATTTTTCAGTTAAACAAGTACTTAATATTGATAAGGCACTAACACAGTAGGTGGAGAGATTATAGGGAGTTTAAATTTTCTTCTTTTCAATGTTTCCTAATTTGCCTATGATGAACAAGTATTAGTTCTAAGATGAGCAAATAAGATATTTTTAATATCAAAATTTTAAAATGGAAATGAGTTGAAACCCAGAAAAAAAAACTATGTTTAAATAATGGAAGTTGGATGATTTCTGCAGATCATATATAATATGTTCATTATTGTGATAACAATAGAAAGAACTACAGACTAAAAGATTTATTTAAAACAGTATTGGTAAGAATGGAAAAGAATCTCCTCCTTACCAACACTTCCTAATTCATGTGAGCAGCCCACACAAACAGCTTTGATCAAGCAGATGGTACCAGAAAATTCCTGGACAAGTATTCAAGTCTAGGGTAATTTGTGTTATTATAAGGCAGTGAAGTGAAATTATGAAGGTATGCTAGTTCACATTAACATTTGTTGGGTCAACAGAGTGCTTTAATGGAAGGGTATACAGGGTAGAGAACACCATCAGTCACACACAGGACATGTTAAGAGTGTAACATTTACAAAAGTTTGGGATTTATTATTGTCATAAAGCCTGTATTCACCTTCCCAGGTGAAAAGATAAAATTTCTCAGAACGATACTAGAGCAAATAAGGCAAACCAATTTTCTATGGTGATATGTTATCTATATAGGCAACTGATATTCATAATCAGGTTATCTTAAGGTCTTTATGTGTCAAGTAATGTATAAAAATACCTTTGTTTGTGAAGAATCTGTAGATGCTCAAAGTATAATTGGCCCAGGGAATTTATGCTCATCACAACCTCTTCTTCAGACACCAAGTCTATCTTGAATGGATTTGCTGTGATATGACACCTGAGGTCTCCTTTTTCATTTGCCAATATCAGACTGCCTGTATCCCCTAAGGATGGAATCAGTCTAGAAAACAAAGCAGGAAGAGAAAAATAAGCTGCTACAGGTTTACATGACCCTATGTGATTTGCACTTACAAATAATTAGTAAATCAATATTCATGTGACATAGCCATATATAAGGCAATAAAGAAATGTAAATGAGAGCACTGGCTTTGGTGTCAAAGAGCTTAAATTGAGCATAACTCTACCATATACTTCATAACTTTGTATAACACAGTTATCCAACCTTTCTAGGTCTTGGTTTCCTTATCTGTAAAGTGAAAATAACAAAACAAACAACAAAGTTTTTGGAGAGAATTAAATGAGATCCACATGTGTAAAGCTCTTGACACAGTGCCAGACACATTTTAAAAAAACACTCAATAATGTTAGCTATCATTATCGTCATCACCTGGTCTGGAAAGTCTAGTAACTTTCTAGATTTGGTGCGTAAAATAAATATTGTTTTTCTTTCTCATTCCAACCACATACTCAGAAACTGAGGAAACAATGCAGATTGAGTCCACAGTGAGATGGAACCAGGTCAAATTAACTTATTTATTCCCTGATTCTCACCAGCCTCTAACTTCCCAGATACACTCTTAGGACGTTTTAGATCTACAAGAATTGTGTAAGCTCAGACACAATACTTAAAATCCCCTCAAAGCTAGATATTTCCCTTTCTCCAGAGCACAGTGTCCCTAGTAAATGTTCCCAGGACTCTTTAAGGAAGGTAAAATGAGACAGTTTATGTTCTTATTATGTCTTTTCAGTCCTTCTCCATGGATTGTAGTCCTCCTCTTCAAGCAAGATACTAACTCTGGAGTTGGCTGAGAGGCTGTGTCTCACTCTTCATTGAACCTAGACAGAGTTCTTTTGATTATTCCATTAAGCAGGACTTTAGTCCATACATTTCAGTCTACTGCGCCCCACCATAAATTGCTTACTGCCCCAAGCATTAAACCATTTGAGTACTACATGGGCCCTACCACATATAATGTAATTATGTTCACCCTGTCTCTGACAACTAAGTGTTTCTACTCCGCCTCTGCTACCTGGAGTCTCATCATCTCCACTGAAATCAGGGAGACCATTTTAATGGCATCATTTTCCACCATTATCTCCAGCCCACAAGAGGAAGATGTTCACTACAATGCTTTCCAAGTGCTCTCTCATCAGTTTCTCAGTGAAGGGGGTATGTTCTGGATTCTAGTGGGGAACAGAATCCAGAGGGCCTAGATGAGCTGGCTGCATGAGATGAATCCACTTCAACATTTCTTTCTCTCTAAGTCTATAGATCATTTCCTCTATACTGTGCCAAGGAATTCCTGATATCTCAGCTTCATTCAGCAGAATCCATAGCTGAGTTCAGAGTATAATTAAACAACTAAGCCATCAATTTGAGCCATTCTCAGCTGCCCAAGCTAGCATATCAAATCTACATTCTCTGGTACATGTACCTATGTCAATAAAATTAGCCTTATCTAGAATTAAGTCCCTTCTTTCTGGTCTAGAAATTCCTCAGAAACCATTTCCATGCATATTTCCCAGTTTTTTGCCATCATATAGTCTTATAGTTATTCAGGCATGTAAGCCTTCTCCTCCTGGGTTTGACTGTAATTGGCTCTCTGGGCACGCTGGGATCTGACTCTGATGATGGGTTTGGAGGCAGTGAAGGATGGTAGGGGTTGGGCACAAGGAGCAATGGAATCCCGTGCCTGTATATTTTAGGTGAGGTCAATACAGGGTATCCAAGCAAGGCAGGATCAACTTTCACCTGCCCTTGTAGGAGGAGTTGTTTCTGCTGAAATGGCAGAGCCAGTAAAGTTCTGAGGTTTGACTATTTAGAATTATCCAACTCCTCCCAAATGTTGTTATTCAATTTTTAAAAAATTGTTAATTTTGTTAGAGACAGGATCTTGCTCTGCTACCCAGGCTGGAGTGCAGTGGTGTGACTAGTTCACTGCAGCCTTGAATTACTGGGCTGAAGCGATCCTTCCACGTCAGCCTCCCGAGTAGCTAAGACTGCAGGTGTGTGCTACCATACCCAGTTAATTTTTTAAATTTTTGTAAGCCGGGCGCGGTGGCTCAAGCCTGTAATCCCAGCACCTTGGGAGGCTGAGGTGGGTGGATCACGAGTTCAGGAGATGAGACCATCCTGGTCAACAAGGTGAAACCTTGTCTCTACTAAAAATACAAAAAATTAGCTGGGCATGGTGGCGTGTGCCTGTAATCCCAGTTACTCAGGAGGCTGAGGCAGGAGAATTGCCTGAACCCAGGAGGCAGAGGTTGCGGTGAGCCGAGATCGTGCCATTGCACTCTAGCCTGGGTAACAAGAGCGAAAAAAAAAAAAATTTTTTTTGTAGAGACAAAGTCTCACTTTGTTGTCCACTCTGGTCTATATCCCTTGACTTCAAGCAATCCTCCTGCCTGGACCTCCTAAAGTACTGGAATTACAGGTGTGAGCCACTGCACTCAGCCTACTGTTCAATTTTGAGAAGTCCTACATTTTCCCAGTTAATGCCTGAAATTCACAGACCTGATGAGGCTGTGAATTCAAATTATGGCCTGATTCAGTGATCTGCAATATCAAACTCTGCATCTGATTTTCAGTTACATGTAACTGCAGCTACAGGAGATAGGAGGACTTTTAGGATTGTCACAGAAAACTATCAATCTTCTGACAATACCTTGAGCTAAGAATCTAAAACCCTGAGACCATTGTTTTCTTTATTTAAACTCTTCAGTGAAGTTGAAGCAGCCAAACCACCTCAGAGCTCTGAATTCTGCTTGATAATAATAATGCAGTATGGCCCTACCCCTTTGCTGGCTTTCAATAGGTTGCTTTATTTTAGTTGTCTACCAGTAGTCATTTAAGTAGCACTGCCACAGAATTTTGTACTCTATTATTAGTTGTATTAGTTTGGCAGGGCTGCCATAAGAAAATATTACGAACTGGGTAGCTTGAACAACAGAAATTTATTTTCTCATAATTCTGGAGGCTAGAAGTCCTAGATCAAGGTGTCAGAAAGTTGGGTTTCTTGTGAGGCCTATTTCCTGGGCTTGCAGATGGCTGCCTTCTCACTGTGTCTTCACATGGTTGTCCCTCTGTGCCTGTGTCTGTGTCCTAATCTCTTCTTACAAGGGCACTAGGTATAATGGATTACAGCCTACCCTCATGACCCCATTTTAACTTATTTACTGTTTTAAAGGCCCTATCTCAAAGTATAGTCACATTCTGAGGTACCAGAGGTTAGGGCTCCACACCTGAATTTTGAGGGGACACAATTCAGCCTGTAACAACAGTATCCCATCCTCTATTAGTAAATACATCCTCACTGCCTCCAAATCCAACTAGGTCAGCCAGCCAATCTCATATTCCCATCCTTAAGGGACTGTTGCTTATACTCATTTCTAATACCAACTACTATATTGACCAAGGCTCAATTGTAGAAAACAAAAACAACTCTGGCTATTTTAAGCAGAAAATAAATGACTTCATATGAATAATTTGTTGCTTACAACCTCACAGGAAGGGTTGAGGTAGTAGGTTCTAGGCTGCATGTCCAGGAATGACCCCTAGTACAATATTGCATAACTGTATGGCCAACTGACCTTCTATCTTAGCTAGAATCAAGAAGCTGGATTATTAGAAGTCACTATGACAACTGCTGGGCTCTAGGATCATGCCACCTTAACTATAATTCAGAGGTGAATAAATCATGGCCCTACCTAATGGCTGGATACTCACTCTAGAGGTGCCAAATCCATATAAGCAAAATGCGGAACTCAGTGCTGAAATCAAAGTTTTTTTAAGTGCATCTGATCAGTGGAAACTAATTACATCAGAAACTGTAGCTACAGAGGAGTCTGGGACATGAAGAAATGTAGGTTTTAGCTTTCCATTTACTACAGTAGCCAAAGGCCCTCTGGAAAGAAGTCAGAACAGAAGTAGAATATCACATTTACCATACTAAGTCAATTATCACCTGGACCCTAAAACATGGCAAAGACAGCCTGGAAAAAGAAAATTACAGATTAACTTACCTACGAACACAGTGTAAAAATTGTGAAGGCTCAGCAAAGTCTCAGGATACAAAATCAATGTGCAAAAATCACAAGCATTCCTCTACACCAGTAACAGACTTAAAGAGAGCCAAATCAAGAACAAACTGCCATTCACAATTGCTACAAAGAGAATAAAATACCTAGGAATACAACTAACAAGGAACATAAAGGACCTCTTCAAGGAGAACTACAAACCACTGCTCAATGAAATAAGAGAGGACACAAACAGATGGAGAAACATTCCATGTTCATGGTTAGGAAGAATCAATATCGTGAAAATGGCCATACTGCCCAAAGTAATTTACAGATTCAACGCTATCCCCATCAAGCTACCAATGACCTTCTTCACAGAACTGTAAAAAAACACCTTAAACTTCATATGGAATCAAGAGAGCCCACATAACCAAGTCAATTCTAAGAAAAAGAACAAAGCGGGAGGCATCACACTACCAGACTTCAAACTATACTACAAGGCTACAGTAATCAAAACAGCATGGTACTGGTACCAAAACAGAGATATAGACCAATGGAACAGAACAGAGGCCTCAGGGGCAACACAACATATCTACAAACATCTGATCTTTGACAAACCTGACAAAAACAAGCAATGGGGAAAGGATTTCCTGTTTAATAAATGGTGTTGGGGAAAACTGGCTAGCCATGTGCAGAAACTGGATTTCTTCCTGACACCCTACACTAAAATTAACTCCAGATGGATTAAAGACTTAAACATCAGACCTAACACCATAAAAACCCTAGAAGAAAATCTAGGCAAAACCATTCAGGACATAGGTGTAGGCAAGGACTTCATGACCAAAACACCAAAAGTATTAGCAACAAAAGCCAAAATAGACAAATGGGACCTAATCAAACTCCACAACTTCTGCAGGGCAAAAGAAACAGTCATTAGAGTGAGTTGGCAACCAACAGAATGGGAAAAAATTTTTGCAGTCTACCCATTTCACAAAGGGCTGATATCCGGAATTTACAAAGAACTAAAATAAATTTACAAAGAAAAAACAAACAAGCCCATTCAAAAGTGGGCGAAGGATATGAACAGACACTTTACAAAAGAAGACAAACATGAGGCCAACAAACATACAAAAAAATGCTCATCATCACTGGTCATTAGAGAAATGCAAATTAAAACTACATTGAGATACCATCTCACACCAGTTAGAATGGCGATCATTAAAAAATCTAGAGACAACAGATGCTGGAGAGGATGTGGAGAAATAGGAACACTTTTACACTGTTGATGGGAGTGTAAATTAGTTCAACCATTGTGGAAGACAGTGTGGCAATTCCTTAAGAACCTAGAAATAGAAATTCCATTTGACCCAGCAATCCCATTACTGGGTATATATCAAAAGGATTATAAATCATTCTACTCTAAGGACACATGCACACGAATGTTCACTGCAGCACAGTTTACAATAGCAAAGACCTGGAACCAACCCAAATGCCCATCGATGATAGACTAGACAGGGAAAATGTGGCACATATACACCATGGAATATTATGAAGCCATCAAAAATGATTAGTTCGTGTCCTTTGTAGGGACATGGATGAACCTGGAAACCATCATTCTGACACAAGAGCAGAAAATCAAACACCACACGTTCTCACTCACAGGCGGGTGTTGAACAATGAGAACACATGGACACAGGGAGGGGAGCACTACACACTGGAGTCAGTTGGGGGGAAATGGGGGAGGGATAGTGGAGGGTGGGGAGTTGGGGAGAGATAGCATGCGGAGAAATGCCAGATATAGGTGAAGGGGAGGAAGGCAGCAAATCACACTGCCATGTGTGTACCTATGCAACAATTTTGCATGTTCTTCACATGTACCCCAAAACCTAAAATGCAATAAAAAAAAATTGTGAAGGCTGTACTAATAAAATAAATCCTTCAGGATAGTAGAAAATAATATATTGTGGCCAAGGGGTTATATGTATGGATTGATTCAATTGCCAAAGTACAAAAGCCTTGAGAAACAGTCTCTTTTAAATTCTTATTTAGGGCAGGTGTGGTGGCTCATGCCTATAATCCCAACACTTTTGGAGGAACAGGAGGGAGAATTATTTGAGGCCAGGAGTTTGAAACTAGCCTGGACAACACAGCAAGACTGTCTCTATTAAAAGAATAAAATTAAATTTTACTCATTTATTGGCATATAGTGTAGCACAGTGAATAGATATATTTTAAACTTTTGATGATTCTATAATAACTGAATTAATTTCTCCTTATAATCTATTGACCTTTTATAAGATTTTCATGGAAAAAATAAACTACATAAAACTGTGGTAATGATACAGTGAAAATTAAAGCATCTGGTATAATCTTATATTCCTTTAGTGAAATAATATGAAAACATAATGAAAACCAACCAGTAAAACTGAGTTCAAACATCACTGGAAAGTGTTATGAGAACAGATGAAGGTTTTGCAAGTACTTGAAAATGCTTTAGTCCCCAAAGATTGTTTTTCACGTAGACATTATTAATTTATCTTGACTCTAACTAAAATTACATGTCAGACTTCTGAGACTCACTTTTAATTAAAAGTGAGTCTGTCTAACTGTGTAAATTACTGTAAGCATGGGAGTTTGGCTTGCATATTAGAGCTCTGGAGCCCTGCTGTTAATCTGAGTGAGTAAAGTAAGTAGCTTTCCTTCTACTTGCTCCAATAGTCTGGCTAATAAAACCACTTTCTTTGTGAGAAGGAGAGCAGGGATCAACGTTCTGCTTCTCCCCTTTAAATAAGTCCTGACAAATCAAATGGTGGATGAGGAATAAACAGAATGGATAATAAGGAAAACAGATAAGTTGATCCCCAAATAACTGAACGCATTAAAAGTATAGCAAAAAACACAATTACTTTTGCACCAACCTGTAACTCTGCAAATGACTGCAGTTTTAAATAGCCAAAGCAGGAGGTGCACATAACAAAATTTACTACTCAAGATACGAAAAAAGAACATATCGGGTGTGTCTTTAAGATACCTCGCTCCTTGGCTTACCTTACAGTGCTTGGCTTGCTTGTGAGGACATCAGGAACTTCATACCTGGGTTTTAGAGGACTCTCTTCATTAATCTTAAGCCTGAAAATGTTTCCTTCTATACCATAAATTTCAGCCAGGAGAGGAACCTGGAAACAGACAAGACATTAGCTTGAACAGGTTATCCAACTGATGGCCAATTTTGTACAAATTACAATACTTAGAAAAGTATTTGTTTAAATTATGATAGGCCAAGCAAATTGGAGGACACTGGCATTTTTTTTTTTTTTTTTTTTTTTTTTTTTTTTTTTTTTCAGAAAAGCTCCCCAGTCTATGTAGGTACTTGCTTCGCTATAGCTGTGGTAGCAACAAGAAATATCTCTATATGTGTTCTGTGGCTAGGTCAACATACAATTGTCCAAACCAGGATCTTTAGAGTGAAAGGAGTCTCTATTAATAATTACAGTGAATGACTAAAATCAAACTGAAATTGATTCATTTACAGCTGGGAATAGGCCTGGGGAACTTTTACAAGAGGCTGGGGAATGTAGGTAAAATTCTGCCTATGATGGGACATGGAAACAATGTAAGAACCATGAAGATAATACAGAATTTGAAAAATGAGACACAGAACAACAAGTTCTAGGATAATAGAAATGACTGGATTCAGGCTACAAAATGAGGCAACTAGATCAGAAAAATATTTTAAGACCATGGTTTTCAACTGGTAGGCTATACCACACTAGTCAATTGCAAATTCTTCATGAAGTATGATGCCAAGTTTTGGTTATTACTGGTGCCTGAGTTGTTACCATTATGTCTGTTAAATGACGGCTAAGCTGGGTAAGTTGTGTGACATAGCATAGAATGGGTACAATGTGGTGCAAGTAAAAGATAAGAAGTACGGAGACTATCAAGCCAGAACCAGAAAAGTGATGTTACTGGAACTTTGCCTCTTGTGAATACAAGGAAGCAATCAGGGCAGTTAAACTGTAACGTGATACTGAACAGTGACCAAGTAAACAGTGCTATGGCTGTGGATCCTTTTCTAGATATTCTAAGACAGGGATATGATGCAATAGTTATCATACTGTAATTACTGCTTACATGTTTAATGTTCTTTTATATATTTAAACTACTTTTATTATACTATCAGAATTTTAATATTTGGAAATATGTCCAAGTCAAAATAAAGCTCAAATTCTGTTTATGTATTCTCTCACTAAACATATATTTTCTTTTTTTTCTTTTTTTTTTTTTTTGAGACGGAGTTTCGCTCTTGTTACCCAGGCTGGAGTGCAATGGCGCGATCTCGGCTCACCGCAACCTCCGCCTCCTGGGTTCAGGCAATTCTCCTGCCTCAGCCTCCTGAGTAGCTGGGATTACAGGCACGCGCCACCACGCCCAGCTAATTTTTGTATTTTTAGTAGAGACGGGGTTTCACCATGTTGACCAGGATGGTCTCGATCTCTTGACCTCGTGATCCACCCGCCTCGGCCTCCCAAAGTGCTGGGATTACAGGCTTGAGCCACCGCGCCCAGCTAAACATACATTTTCATTGCTCTCTCAAATTCAATTCAGTTAACATTTATTTGGCATCTATTATTGCAAAGACTAAACTTTTGGGGATGCTACAATTCACAGATAAAAGAGATGTAAAGCTAACACAGAGCATTCTGTGATAAGTGCTAAAGTAGAAAGGCAAGAGATTAAGAAAGGGGGTTATTAATGACAACTGTAGGGCGAAGAGTCCTGGACGTTCTCTGGAGGAGTAAAGGGCCACAGGAATAGTAGGACTTTGAGTAGGCAAAAATGGGCAAGAACGTTTTAAGCAGGGGGACATAGGTTGTCTGCCCATATATGATTAACAAATTGCATCTAGTTATTCACTCAGAGATTGTTCCATTTTCAGTAAAATAGCTTTCTCTGAAAAAAAAAAAAAAAAAAAAAAAAAAAAAAAAACCACCAATTTTTGTTTAAATCAAAGACTGACCTGTATATTCTGTTCCTCAGGCTGCAGCCCAGGTGGAAAGAAGAGGGAGCAATAACCCTGCTTTCACCATAATGACTTCATGTATAGATCTGAGCTAAATCCCATTTCAATTTTAATTCAATTTAGCAAACTTATGTTAGCAAAAATTGCTCTGAAATTTAGCAATATTGAGTCATTCTTTCTTTAAATTTATCTATCTATTTATATATTTATTTTGAAATGGAGTCTTGCTCCATCAAAAGGAGTCTTATTTTGAAATGGAGTCTTGCTCTGCAAGCAGGCTGGAGTGCAAAGGCACAATCTCAATTCACTGTAACCTCTGACTCCTGGGTTCAAGCGATTCTTGTGCCTGAAACTCCTGAGTTGCTGGAATTACAGGTGTGTGCTACCATGCCAGGCTAATTTTCGTTTTTTTTTTTTTGAGACGGAGTTTTGCTCTTGTTACCCAGGCTGGAGTGCAATGGCGCGATCTCGGCTCACCGCAACCTCCGCCTCCTGGGTTCAGGCAATTCTCCTGCCTCAGCCTCCTGAGTAGCTGGAATTACAGGCACGAGCCACCATGCCCAGCTAATTTTTTGTATTTTTTTTAGTAGAGATGGGGTTTCACCATGTTGACCAGGTTGGTCTCGATCTCTTGACCTTGTGATCCACCCGCCTCGGCCTCCCAAAGTGCTGGGATTACAGGCTTGAGCCACCGCGCCCGGCCTAATTTTCGTATTTTTAATAGAGATGGGGTTTCACCATGTTGACCAGGCTGGTCTCAAACTCCTGACATCAAGTGATCCTCATGGCTCAGCCTCCCAAAGTGCTGGGATTAGAGGTGTGAGCCACCATGCCCAGATTTTTTTTTTTTTAATCCTTAATCAATGAACAGATTCATTCTTATCTCTTATTATTACCAACATAGCTTTCTTGGTCCAGGCACTACTTTCCTTAGACTTTACTATGCATTTGCTCCTATGATCTGGGCTTACGTGGTTTTTTTTCTTATTAGCCTTTTTTTTTTTTTTTTTTTTTTAAATATCAGCAGACTCCCAGAAATCTAGTAAGTAAAGCCACCTGGGTTAAAGACAATGGGGAATTGCTCAGTGTCCTACCTTAGAGTCCCCTGCCTTTCCTGTATTGAGTCCTGAGGCACCTCTGTGGAAACCTCAGGGCTTGGTGATGACAGTTCAAAAGCCACCTCCCTGGGGCTTAACTGCCAGTTCTTTCCCAATCCTTCTACTACATCCTTGCTCTTTCAAAAAGTCTGGACATGACTGTTATATTCTTCTACCTAAAATAGTAAGAATTTGTAGATATTCCTTTTTTATTTGCTGGGACTTGCTAGATATTTATAAATAAAATAATATAAACTACCAAATTTCTTCCTCCTATTAGTGATGATTGGAAATGACAATGAAAAAATACATTAAGAATTACAGATGTTGGACTCTTAAATTTAGTATTAATTCTTAGATAATATAAGTAGTCACTCAAATTGCAGCCAGATCAATTTATGTAAAATAAATGAACATACATCTAATAACTTTAAACGGATAGTTAAAATGAGGTAAGAGAGCATGGCTTTTGCTCTTAGAAATATTTTAGACGTGCAATGGGTAATGCATGCATAGAGCCCCAGCTACTCAGTGGGGCTGAGGCAAGAGAATTGCTTGAGCCTAGTAGTTTAAGGTTACAGAGCACCATGACTGCACCCGTGAGGTGCACCACTGCCCTCCAGCCTAAGCAACAAAGTGAGACCCCATCTCTGAAAAATAAGGTTTGTTAATGTCCATATACACAGAGAAGCTGACATAAATCCTCAAAGAAAATAATACATTTTGGAGGTTCATTTTAGTACTATAAGCCTCTACTCAGTTTTTCATATACCTTTACTCAGAAGCCCACCTCTCACAGGCTGGGAAAAAATTCTCTTTTCCTGTCTTATTTCTCCCCTACTAAATAAAAGCAATTAAAACTTGGTGGTTTGTTATCCACAGTCCAGTCTTTTTTATGGTCACATAGGCAAAAATATCAAATATTTTATAAACATCATGGTGTTTGTTAGCAATAGCTTTGTCTATGTCTTCAAGCATAGGGCTGATCATAAACACATTAAAACAAAAACTTTTTATTCATCAGAACTTGGAATCACTACTCATAAAGACCATAACAGAGTTAACAGAACAGCCGTAGAACACATATTTAAATTTGCAGTGGGTGTTAAGTAGGAAAATTATGACTCGGTCAACACCTTCCTAGATAGGTTGATCTTGCTTTTCCTGAAGCACAAGGACTCTTCACTATTACATAAAGAATTGTAACCTAAAGGGCCTAGAACATGAGTGACCACCTCTCAGCTGTGAGCAAGACCTCCCAGGATCCAGGGAATGAATAGTTCACTAAATTGCTGTAGGGTACTAATTATCCCTTCCACATTTGTAGCCAGTTGGTTTATTGCAAGCACTGATTTTCTACAAAGAATACTGGCAACCTCGGCCGGGTGCAGTGGCTCCCACTTGTAATCCCAGCACTTTGGGAGGCCGAGGCGGGCAGACCATGAGGTCAGGAGTTTGTGATCAGCCTGGCCAACACAGTGAAACCCCATCTCTACTAAAAATACAAAAATTAGCTGGGTGTGGTGGCAGGCACCTGTAATCCCAGCTACTCTGGAGGCTGAGGTGGGAGAATTGCTTGAACTCGGGAGGTGGAAGTTGCAGTGAGCCAAGATCACGCCACTGGACTCCAGCCTGGTTGACAGAGCTAGACTGTGTCTTCAAAAAAAAAAAGAAAGAATATTGGCAACCTTTGGCTGGGCATTGACCTGTTCCCCAAGGACAATTAGCCCTTCTGAAATTTTGGCCAATTCCCAAATTAGCTGCCCGTTTCTGGCCATTTCTGCAGACACAGTACTGGCTAACAAGTGGTAGTTGTGCCTCCTCTGCTGAGAAGGTGGCTGGTTGGGCAAAGCCACATTTTCATTAGGCTTAGATGAAGAAGCAAGGGGTAACTTCACAGAGGTGTTCAGAGATATTCCTGCATCCTTGGAGATGCTGCTGGAAGTGTTGTCTCTGGTGAAATTTTACAAACAGGCTGCAAAAGAAAATAAGAGTGTTGCCAAATGGTCACCTATATAATGAGAAAGCATCATAATTAGCAATATAAAGTAGATTG